AAAATAGAGAAACGCTCTCAATATTATCCAACAATAAATATGTTAAAATCGACTTCAACCTAACTTCTATTTTAAGCATCTTTTTTTATGTCCAGGCTAAATTTAGTTACTTTGTATATTTATAATAATTTATATGTAATTGAAAATAATAATAAAAATGTCAAACTAAATAAATTTGATATTTTTAAACTTAATTTTTACTGATTCAATATTTACCCTATTTGACCTATCACCTAGGCTGAACCAAATTTACTTGATATTTTTTAGGCCTAAAAACAAAAAGCTCAAGCCGACTTGATAAAACAAACCAATTTTGATGCCTCCATCAAATAAAGATTAATGACATATTCAAACTTATGATATCATTTCTATTTAATTAATAATGATATAAAAGTAGATAAATAAGTTATTAAAGACAAAAAAAATGATATACTTGTTATTATTTTATTTTTAAAATAATTTATTTATACATCCAACATAATTTTATAAAAATCAAATTTTCAATTTTTCAAAAACAATATGATATTTGTATGCCATAAATAAAGTTATTTTGATTAGTTAATTACTAAAATAAAAAAAAAGTTATTTATAATTATTCTAAACTATTATAACTATATTAAATAACTATAAATTAGTGTATATTAATATTGATTAAAGAATATCAAACAAATAATATATTTTTTTCTTTGTCATTGTTATTTTCAATCTTCTCTTTCGTAACATTATGATTGTTGCTAATTGAAGGATCTTTGCCCAAAAAAATTGAATACAAAGATTTTTCAAAAAATAAACCGTCTTTATAACATATAGGCATAAAATATTTTTTAACTATGTTATTAGTATTAAATATTATTAACTTTATTGATGACTAATTTTTATTAGAGAACCTGACTAATCATCTTTAATGAAAGTCTTCTTTTTCAACCATATTTTTTTCATATACAAAATTTTAACTTGAGACCTTACTAAGGGAAGCTAAATTCAATATTATTTAGATCAATGATAAATATAAAATGTTTAACCATTACTAACATGTTTGAGAAAACATTTGCATCACTACAAACGCGTTCTCACTTTTCAAGACACAAAAACAAAAAGGAAGAGTTTGTAGCTTTTGAATGAACGTGAGATTGAAAGACATTAAATCCAATCCAAACATGCACTAAATCAACCCATCAAATTATATAAATACTAAATTTGAGATAATTAAAGTAATTATATAATTATAAATCCTTTTTTATATATATATTTGTCACCATTTTTTTTTCAATTAACTTGTAACTTGATAACTTTACGTGCTTCGCTTTTTTTTTTTCTTTTGAAATATGCATTTAATTTAAAGTTTAATTAAAATACATTGATATTATTATCATCTAAGCACGTATATAATAATTTACTGATTATTATAATAATTATCTTAAAAGTTATAAGAAAAAATTTATTGATTAAAAGTGTCAAAAATTAAACTAATAATATATAAAAATTAATTCTTAAATATAGATAAAATTCATATATTATGTTTTGTATGTATTTTTTATATGCTTATATTTCGCATAAAAAAGCTTGAGTATGCTTTAATTTATTTGCGAAGCGCTACCGTTATACACGGTGAATATGTAAATACGATTTGACAAGTGGCAGTTATATTTGGCTCGACAATATATATAAATGCGTATTAAGAAAGAATAGTCAAAGAGTCAATTTAATTGGAATGGCAATATCTCGATTTCATAGAACATCGATCTACCAATGTCCAATCAAATTAATTTAACTTTCATTTTCATGTGTTATCAAAATTTAACTGACTTTTAGGCATAGAAAGAAGCAAAATAAGTGAGGTCCAACTACATTAATTAGTGTCACCGGCAAATCTTAAACAAGATCTAGGTGTAAAAGTCGAAGAAATTGTAAAAGTAACTTGTTTCAATGTTTATGCACCCAACCCCAAACTATTCACGCATGAAATGTCCCATATAGTCTGAATTAATTTAAATAAAATAAATTATAAATATGCAGTATAATAATTTAAAAATAAAAAAAAATAATACGATATGATGAATGGTTTTTAATTAGTATCTTTAAAACACCCGTGAATAAGACCCATCAAATAAAAATACTAAAATATATATAAAAAAATCAATTTCACACAAATTAAAAAATTAATTAAATATACTTAGTTTTCATGATTTTGCATAAAAATATATATTACATTTAATAAAACATTCTTAGAGATATTTTTTTTGTTTAAGAGCATTAAATAACATTAACTAATTGATTGAAAATTGTTTATATTTTAATTTTAACAAAAATATATATATATATATTTTTTACTTATACAAGTCCAAAGAGGTAGTAGAATTAAAGGGCACACATCGTGTTATCTTTTTACATGTATTAATTAGTAATTAACAACCTTTACTTGATCTGAATTAATTTAGTAAGATTTGAAGACTGTTTGTTTTTCCGCAAAAGTTGGCAATCTTAGAATATTACTTGATTAACAGCATCAGCAGTAAGACTCCAAATTAGTATATTCCTAATATATCTCATGATTTGGCGAATAAGGGTTATAATATATTTGTTTGGTATTGAGATGCTATAAAGCCTAAAACATGTATCACTCTAATCAGAGAGAGAGAGAGAGAGAGAGAGAAGAAAGCGTGACGTGGCCTATATGCAGTCGATGCCCTCAAGCAACGGTTGAGATTGAGTGTGAGGGTTGACACCTATTGTTTATCTTCGACACTCAGTTCCCACCTTTCTTTCTCAGTCACACACACTCACCCGTGTGAACTCAACTCCAAATAACTCTCTCTCAACTCTCTTGTTTCTGTTATCTCTCCATGAACTTTTTCTAACACAAGAGGAGAAGAACAAAACATGTTGCTTATGAGAAGAACTACGAGCATGAGTGGTGGCATGGCCGTCGAAACGCGTGAGGAAGTCATGTCTGAATCCTTGACCCTTCAACATGACGAGGGTAACAATAACATCAAATATTCACATGTTGTTGCCACGGCAACACAAAAAGAAGTGCTGGATAACCACACCATAAATGTTTTTGAGGCCAAAGAATCATATGAATATGCTGACCAACGTTTGATGGGCATGCCTCTTTCTCCCACATCAACAAATATTCATCGTTATACTCACAACCATACAAACACTAACATACACACTTCTTCTCACTTTCTTCGGACTTGCGACCTCTGTAGGTCTCGTTTGGCACCTGGTCGAGACATCTATATGTATAGGTACGTATAATCAGCTCTTCCTTGTTTACAGTTATGCATCCATTCACTTTCTAGAGGTTAATTTTCACATCTTACACTAATCCGTGTCTTTTATATTTTTAAGATATTAAATGCATACTGATCCATTGGTAAGATGTAACATTACTAGCTAATTTTTGTCAAATCTAACCTATGGATCAGATATTAATCTCGTTTGAAGTATCGTGACTAGTATGCCCAAACATGGCTAGTTAATTTTTGTTTGAATTCCATATTGATCATTAGTTATTTGTTTTGTTTAGAGGGTGATGTTGATTTTAGTGTAATTTAATTGGTTTTATGATCGGAACAAGATTGTTGATTAATTAATTTATTTCAGGGGGGATACAGCATTTTGCAGTTTGGAGTGTAGAGAGAAGCAGATGAAGCAAGACCAGAGAAAGGAAAAGTGGAAGGCGGGGGGCAACAAGGAACACCGCCGTGCAGCGGCGGCGGGTGCCGCCGGAAAAGCTTCAACGAAAAGTGAAACGGCTGCTTGTAATTGAAGGGTTGCAAAGGTAATTAATTGTAAGGTGAAATATTATATGTATGTGTTGAGGAGAAAATGAAGAAAAAGGCCAAGCTAGCTAACTCGTGTATCATGTGAACTTACGACGAGGATACCCTATATCTTGCGTTGTCCCTCTCATCGTCATCCATATATGCTTGTTAATTTCACGCCTATGCTAGTACCTCTTATTGACATAATTCTGCTGGGAAATTGTACAAAAGATCTCCTTCTTGTATTGCCTGTGTGAATCTAAAATTTCCCATATATCTATATCTATCTATGTTATTCATCTCATGCTCTTTACTTCACTTCCTTGTTGTATTTAATTATGTAGTTAACTTACAAACAAAAACAAGGATTAACATATGTAGTAAACAAATTAAGAATATGTTCAAATTAAATACAAAATACTTTTGAGATCTTCTCTATTAGAAGTAAAAATTATTTCTTAATAAAGAAATTTTCAGAAATGATTTTAAGTTAGTATCAAGTGTTTCTGTCGAATGAGAGGGTTGTACTTTTTAATTATAAAAAAAATAAATCATATTTGGTTTGGTTCCCTGGCTCTCTAAAATATAAAGATCATACATCACTGTTATATATTTATGAGTTCAGTGACGTACTACGTTAATACTGGTCTAAACTTATTGCGCTACTTTTGCAAAGTGGTAAGCGTAATCGAGAGGCAGTTGACGAAATTAAATTCAATTGGACCCACATTAAAATCGGAAAAGCGATGGAAATGGCTACCAATCGAAAATAAGAATCTCAATTAAACCTTAATTGATTTATTTCTTCCACTGCGTTGGATTGGATGGTAGATCTGAGAGGCACGAAAGCATGCACATTCCCTTTCCTCCAGAAAATAATAGAAAAGTTCAAATTAATGAAAGAAATTTTATGAACAAATGAAGGAAATTGATGATTGATGGTACATCAACTCATCAGCTTTGTTAGGCCATGCCATGTAGCACGCTCTTC